GCACAGTTTGAGTTACTGGCAGAGATGAATGGATGGACAGAGGGGCAGGAAGCTGTATACCTGGCAACGAGCTTGAAGGGACAACCACTGGAAATACTTGGACAGTTGACAACAGCGGACAAACACAACTATAGAACACTGGTGTCGGCTCTAGAACTCAGGTATGGAACCCAAAACCAGTCAGAAGTCTACAGGGCCAGGTTCAGGACGAGAGTCCGAGCGAAAGGGGAGATCCTGCAAGAGCTGGCACAGGACTTGGAGAGCATGGCACACAAGGCCTACCCAACTGCACCACCCGATCTCCTCAAGTTGTTGCTGAGGGATCAGTTCGTAGATGCCTTGGACAGTCCACAACTTAAGATACAAGTGAAGCAAGCACGCCCCTCTACCATGCAGGATGCAATGGCCAGAGCTCTCGAATTTGAATCCTATGTTTAGTCCAGCACAGAGGTACCGAGGTTGGTACAGTCATCGGGATTCAAGGCCAGAAAAAGGTCAGCTTTCAGAGAGGTTTGAGGGACTTTGCTGGCACTGTAATAAACCTGGGCACAAGAGAGCTCATTGCTGGAAACTTCAACACCGGGTAGGTGCCACAGCAGGAAAGGCTGGTATGCAGAAAGGTTGTTGGAACTGTGGAAAGCATGGACATTTGAGGAGCCAGTGTAGGAAGAATATTGCCAACAAGTCGGCCTCAAGGAGACCAGTAGTGATTGGTGTTGAGCGACGCCCACCAACCCCCATTATGAAAGTCCCAACAGCTAGGTGTAAAATGCCAAGCACACACAGTGTCTATGTGACAGGAAAGCTAGATGGCCAAAGGTGCAACTTTGTCATAGACTCTGCGTCTCAGCAAACCCTTGTGAGCATCAAGGTGTTAAATCACAAAGGAGTACCAGAAGCCATAGAGAAGCTTTATGTTGTGACAGGACATTCTACAAGATCATGGGGACCAGTGTGGGTGACTATTGAGCTCATGGGCATAAAGGACAGACAGAAAGTATACTTGGCTGACATTGAAGATGAATGCATATTAGGATTGGACTATCTAATACCGAGAAAGTTTGTAATTGATTTTGATAATATGACGTTTGGGAACAACAAAGGCCAAGTTCCAGTAACTGTTGGCTTGACTTCAGCTTGATGGCACCTAATTAGTTCAACCTCTCTTTTGACTGAAAGAGTTGATAATGGTGAAGTGGAACCAAATATAGCTATCAAGGCAGAGCAAGAGAAAGATTAAGATTTGAAGCGAATAATTGATTTTTTAAGAGCAAGTGTTTCGCGCCCTGCTTGGGAGAAGGTGTCTAATCTAAGCCCTGTGACAAAGCACTATTGGGTGCATTGGGACCAGTTAAAGCTTGAAGATGGTATTGTTACGTCTTATATATATAAGAGGGGAAAACGTGACGCGGTAAGAAAGGTAATGTGTAAGATGTAGTCAATGAGTAATTGAACTGCAGTCAGAGATAGACGTATTGTTGTAGTTAACGTTCGTTCGTTATTATAGTTTGTTTTAGCGCGATTGTTGAGTGTATCGGTTAAGTTATATTCGGAAAGAATAAACCAGTTTTATTAAGTAAAGGCTTGTGTCGCTTAAGTTTCGTCGGTACGAAGTTACGGAAAATCAATTAACAAACAGCCAGCCTACCCTACTAGTAAATACTAGAGCATTCGCCAAAGTACATGATAATTCTAGAAACGTTGCGTCACTGTAGTCATGTGACTCGCTGACGCAACAATATTATATTTTTGCGCTTTGCTACATAATTTCTAATACTGACTTCTAATGATAAATATAATCTTCATTAACTTTGACAAACAAAAATGATATTTATGTATCTTCCATTTCAAACTGTATGTTTCCTAAAGAATGAACAGCAGAATAGTTAGGTTAATTAAAAGAGCTTATGGTTATTACATACGTTTGATGTATAATTGATTTTGGTTTTAACTGAAAGTATTTGCATTTTTATACACTGTATGTAGTTACTGACATGTACAGTACTGACGAGAGTAGATCGTCACATAAATGAGTGGACAATTGTTTTTCTTTCTCTTTCTTTTTAGGACAGTACTTTCCTTTTAAACGAAGTAATTAAAAGTAAAGAATTGTTAAAGAGTGTTAAAAATATTCTTTCTCCTTTATAATAATCATAGTGTTAACACAAACATTCCACGCCATATTGTACAATGTCATGATTAAAGTTATTAATGGTATATAAAAGTCTCAATTAGCAATCAAGATTCCTTGATAAAAAGTTCCCCCGAGAACTAGTATCATTGCCAGCCTTGTTGTTCTGCTTCTATCAGGGCACAGACATATATATATATATATGAAATTTGTTTGTATAGATATATATTCTATTTACTTGTAATATAGTCGTTATTCTGAATTTATCACTTATTTTTATACTTGCAGGTTTCACATGATAAGTGGTCGAGAAAGTGATTATGTAAATTTCTTTCTAGTTGCCTTTGTTATACTCGAATGGATGACATGTTTTCTGAAGGTGAGTAATATGGTTGCAACACTGCATGCTGTACAATAATTTTGATAGCAGTGTCCTAGCTTCAATTGAGGTTATGGCTATGCCTATGCTTGAATGAGAAGAATGACCACTCACGTGATAGTGCTAGTCATTCTGGGCAAAAAGTATCTGCATTTATATACACTGTATGTATTTAGTGACAGGTACAGTACTGACGAAAGTAGATCGTCACATAAACGAGTGGATAATTATTTTTCTTTATCTCTCTTTTTAGGACAGTACTTCTCTTTTAAAAGAAGTAATTAGAAGTAAAGCATTGTTGATGAATGTTAAAAACACTCTTTCTTCTTCGCGTCTTGTATTTGTAATCTACTCCTCGAAATTACTAGAAGATCTGATGTAAAATTTTTATAACTTTTTATGTCTACATTTTTAATTACAACATAATATTGTTACGTCTCTGGTCGTTAGTTAATTTCCCGTATAATTTCTTTCCAATGAAGCTTTAGCGACACAAGTCCTTTCTTAAATAAAACTAGTTTATTCTTTTTCAATACAACTTTGAAATTCACTTAATTTCCACGGTCACG